TCTGCATCCTCTTCAACATTCTCTTTTATATTCAATATTTTTGCCATTTTAATGGGTGTGTAGTAGTATCGCATTGTGGTTTTAATTTCCCTAACGACTAATGATTTTGAGCAATTTTCATGAGCTTACTTGACATCCATGTATCTTCTTTGATGAAGTGATTGTTCAGGTTTTTTTGCCCATTTAAAAATTCCCTTGTTTTCTTATTACTGAGTTTTGAGAACTCTATATATTCTGAATACTAGCTCTTCATCAGATATGATTCACAAATAACTTCAAAGTGCAGAAACTTCTAAATTTTCATAAAGTTTAATTTATCAACTTCTTTTATGGATCATGCTCTTGGTGTCATATCTAAGAAATCTTTGTCTAACCCAAGGACACAACGATCTTTTTTCTAGAAGTTTTATAGTTTTAACATTTAGGTCCATGATCCATTTTGAGTTAGATTTTGTAGATGGTGCAAGGTATATACTGAAGTTCACTTTATTGCTTTTGTATATCCAATTTGTTGAAAAGACTATCCTTTTCAATTGAAAAGTCTGAAAAGACTATCTTTTTCAACTGTCCTTTCTGCCCTGAATTACCTTTGGACCTTTGCTTAAAATCAGTTGTTCATACACGTACGAATCTCTGGACTCTCTTTTCTGTGCTATTGATTTGTCTATCTTTGTACCAATACACAAGATTGATGTGTTGAAATCAGGTAGTGTTAGTTCTCCAACTCTGTTATTTTTCAAAGTTGATTTGGCTATTCTGAGTCTTTTGCATTTCTATTTAAATTTCAGAATCAGTTTGTCAACTTACAAAATGGAAAAAGTCTTTGGGATTTTGATTGGGATTGGGTTGAATCAATAGATCAGTTTGGGAAGAACTGACATCTTAAGTCTGAATCATGAGCATAGAATATCTCTCCATATGTTTAAGTGTCTTTAATTTCTCTCAGCAATATTTTGTAATTCTCAATGTATATGTTTTGCACATCTTTCGTCAGATTTAATTTTCAGTATTTAATATTTAATGCTATTGTAAATGTCATTTAAAAAATTTCAGATTCTGATTTTTCATTGCTGACTTTGTTTTAATCTTTCCCCCTATTGAAGCATAAAGTGCACAAATCTTAAGTGTATAAGTTGAAAAAATTTGATATGTGACTACATTACTGTAATTGTCACCTAGTCAAGATATATAACATTTCCCACATCAGGAAGTCTTTCTTCCTCATGGCCCTTCCCAGCCAGGAGATCACTCTCTGACGTCCCTCACAATGTTTTTTATTTTCATATAAATGGAATCAACCAGGATGTACTCTGTCTGGCTTCTTTAGCTCAACATTATGTATGTGAGGTTCATCCATATTGTTGTGTGTACTGGTAGTTCATTCTTAGTCTTTGATCTCTAGTATTTTTCTTCTGTGAAAGGACATTTAGGTTATTTCCAGTTTTTGCTACTGTGACTAATGCTGCAATCAATATTCTTGTACACAAACTTAAGTATTCTTTTCTCTTGGGCATATGCCTAGTGGTAGAATTACTGGGCAATAGGGTTCATGTATGACTAGCTTTAGTAGTGTCAAAGTTTTCTAAAGTAGCTATACCAATTTATACTCTCCCTAGCAATACGTGAAAGTTACAGGTGTTCCATATCCTTGTCAATGCTTGGCACTGGAATTCCTTTTAATTTTAGCCATTTTGGTGGGAGTGTTTAGTACCAAATTATGATTTTACTGTCCCTGATATAGCTATTGATGTAGAACTTCTTTTCGTATGCATATTGGCCATTTAGAGAACATCTGAAAATCAACCAAAGTAATTAACATTAACTTATTAAAGAAAAAATAAACATGGACATTTCAATAAAGGCAGAAAAAGCATTTCATATTGAATGCTTTCTCCCTAATGTTACAATCAAGATAGGAAGTCCATCATCACTACTTTTACTCAACACTATAGTAGACATCCTTAGCCAGTGACAACCAGCAAGAAAAATAAAAGGTATAATGATTGCACAGGAAGATGTCAAACCATCTATCACAGATCACAAGACACTGTGATGACTGAAATTCTAAAAAAGTCTACAAAGTATTAGAAATAGTAAGGGAACTTAGCAAGATGGTTGAATATAAGGTCAATATGTAAAAACCAGCAGTGTTTCTATACACTAGCAACAAATATTAAAAATTTAGAATGCCATTTAAAAAGCATAAAAACCCTCAAATACCCAAGAATAAATTTAATGAAAGATATGTAAGACTTCTACACTGTAACCTACAAAACACTGCTGAGAAAAATTAAAGACCACTTAAATAAACGGAGGGGTGTATTATATTCATGGATTGGAGGAATCAACATAAAGATGTCAGAAAAAAAAGAAATGGAGGCAACCTAAATGTCCATCAACAGATGAATGGATAAAGATGTGGTATACAGATATACAATGGAATACTACTCAGCCATAAAAAAGAATGAAATAATGCCATTTGCAGCAACATGGATTGGTAGAGAGATTACCATACTGAGGTAAGTCAGACAAAGGCAAATATCATATGATTAATATGTGGAATCTAAAATATGATACAAATGAACTTATTTACAAAACAGAAACCGACTCACAGACATAGAAAACAAACTTATGGTTACCAAAGGGGGAAGATGCGGGGAGGGAAAAATTAGGAGTTGGGGTTAGCAGATACAAGCTACTATATATAAAACAGATAAACTACTGCATAGGATAGGGAACTATATTCAATATCTTGTAATAAACTACAATGGAAATGAAAAAGAATATCCATCTATCTATCTGTATCTGAATCAGTCTGTGTACACCAAAAAGTAACACAACGTTGTAAATTAACTATACTTCAATTAAGAAAAAATTAGGATCAGTTTTCCCCAAATAGATTGATCTATAGATTCAATGCAAGCCCAGTTAAAATCCTAGCAGGATTTTTTGTCTTGGGGGGGTTCTTTTTTTGTTTTTTGTTTTTGTTTTTTGAAATTAACAGGTTCTAAAATTTATAAATAAATGGAAATAAGTTCTATAAAATGTATAAAATGTAAATACAAAGGCCTTTGACTAGCCAAGGCAATCTTTAAGAAAAAGTTATAGGGCTTCAAGACTTATAAAGCTACATTAAGATAGTGCGGGACAAGGTTAGACAGACCAACGTAATGAGAACCTGGAAACAGACCCTCATATATGTGGTCATCTACTTTACAACAAAGGTGCCATAATCATTTAGTGGGGGAAATGGCAAATGACAGCTTTTCAGCAAGTAGGGCTGGGTCAATCAATCGGCTATCCATAAGGGGGGAAAAGGAAACTTGATCCCAACCTCCTACCTTTCATAAAAATGAATAAACCTGTCTGTGAAAGGTAAAATAGTCAAGCAACTAGAAGAAAACACAGGTGACTATCCTCATGGCTTTGGAGCAGACAAGGCCTTACATATGACACAAAAAGCATTGATCACAAAAGGAGAGATCAGCAAACCCAGACAGTTTCACCTCAATTACTTCTGTAATTCTTACGATCCCCTACAATCACTAACCTATTTAAGAGTCACTTGGCCTGTAATACAGCAGTTGTCTCCCAACAACTGTTCTTTTCCCTTTAATCAGTCTTCCATAGTACAGACAGAATAACAAACATAAAAATGCAAATTTAACTGTTACTGCCTTTTTTGAGTAAAAATCCTATAACGGGTTAACATCTTTAAGAGAATTACATCCAAACTTCTCAGCAGATTACAACTAGCCCTTTATGATCTGGCAGTTACCTGCCTCTCCACCACCCAGTCAGTCTGCTTCTAGCTTGAATTTTGGCTCTACCAATTTCAGAGTTCACATTATCACTTTCTAACATTCGGCCTATTCTGCCTGAATTGCCTTTTCCATTTCCTTCACTAATTCGAATTCATCTTTCCAGACTGAGGTTCCGGTACAACATATTTGAGTATTCCATCCGTATACCTTATATTCGGCTGTGTCCCTTGTTGCTATCACATCACTGACTATTGCCCTTCTTTGGTTTTAGCACTTTGAACAAAACTGGCTTTAAGTTCTGGAAGGCGTTAACATCACTGAATCCCAGGACTTAGTTTAGATACTGGATGTGGCAGACACTCGAGTTCAGTTATTTGTTTACCTCTACTAAGAGCCGCTCACTCCCACTCCTTCTTGCTCTGCCCCCCCCCCCCCGGTCCCCGTCCCGTGGAACTTGCTGGAAGTTTCTTCTATCTGAATTGCACGGGTCAAAGGGCGGTGACGGAAGGCCTGACCAAAGAGGTGGAAAGTAAAGCAGCACTGAGACAAATTCAGGCCACCTTTCTCCCTTCAGTGCCTTCGGATGGTACACGTTTTTCTTCTGTCTGGGAAGCCAAGTAGGAAGAAAGCCTGGGCCTGTGTCGTTCTGGGGAAAGGAACAGTCCCCCCGCACCGGAACCAAAAGGTTTCCTCCAGTCCAGCCTCTGCAAGGGCGGAGCGACTTCCGGCGAGTCCGAGTCGTTTAGGGTTCCCAGCGCCAAGATCCCGGCATCGACGCGCCATCCGGAACTCGCTCCCGGAAAAGAACACGTAGCCGAGAACGTCACGGGTCACGAAAAGCTTAGCTGCCTCCGGGAGCCATGATGAGAGCTGCAGAGAAAAGGGAGCTCGATGTGCCTTGTGTTATTATTACTAACAGACATACAAACGACCCCAAACGCCACACGTTCCTGAGCGATAACAGTACGACACAAACGTCCTTTCGACCTACCACCCACTGAGGCTCTGCGGCTGTGTGGGTGCGCGCTGGGACTGGTTTACGCCTCCGCCTGCGTAACCATGGCTGCAGGGGGCGGGGCCTGACAGGCTGCTCGCCGGCCGGGGGTGGGGGCGGGGTGGGCCAGGAGAGTCGGTCCTCCAAGGTCCCAGCCCAACCCGCGCCCGCGCTTCACCTCCCCTCCCCTCGCGGCACGCTACGTGGCTGCTCATTGGCTACGTGGGACGGAAGCTCGGTTGGTGTTTCTCCAGAAGTTTCCCCCTTGGGCGTCGGCGGAGGTGGTAACCTCGGTAGGAGCAGCTCCAGCAGCGGTAACAGTAACTATTAGAGATGGCGGCGGCTGCTGCGGCACCTGCAGCAGCCCAGAGGTGCGTGTTTTTCCTTCTCTTTGCTATCATTTGTATCCCCCTTCGTCTTTCTTTAGTTAGAGAGCCCTGCTGAAGTCGTTGTTTTCCTGGCAGGTTTTTCCGGAGCTTCTCTGATGCTCTGATCGACGAGGACCCCCAGGCGGCGTTGGAGGTGAGAGAGCCGGTTCACTGTGCTCTGGGGAACGCAGCCGCGTTGGGTTCCGGCCCACCCCGCCTCTTCCCTGCACTGTCTTCCTGGGGTCGGGGCTGCTGCTTTTCCTGTCTCAGCCCCGATGTTGACAGACTCCGCCTCTCCCTTCTGTGTCCCGCAGCGGCCCGGTTACGCTTCCCATCCCTAGTCCGTTCCTGCATCCTTGGAGCTGCTTAGTAAAACCTGCTCTCCATTTTGGGGGTAGAGGTAACATTCATAGTTGGTCTGAAAGGGTTTGTTTGTTTTTTAAATGGCATTTGTGACTGAGAGCAAAAAGTGAAATCTAAGGCTTGATGTTTATTCATTCGGTTTTTCGTTTGACAATCATCCTTGCCATTTCTGTGTACCAGGTTTGTGCTGAGTGCGTGTATGAACTCACACTATTGGAACAGAAACCTTTTCCCGTGTGTGCCCGAAAATTTCCAGATGTCCAGTCACTGTTCATTATCCACTCATTTGTTTATTCCTCAAAACAATTTCTTGGGGGCAGCTGTGTGGAAGGCACTGTCTGCTCTGGATTAAAGTCTTATTTATGTATTTGACTGACTTGGAAGGCACTTTGTGTTTGTGTTAAGTGAAAAACTATAACGCTGTGAAGGAAAGCAAAAGAGCAAGAGCTAAATAATAATTTGAAGTAATAAAGAGAGCCCAAACTAAGAATACATGATGTAGTGGGTCACAAAATTTAGCCAGGGGTTTCTTGCTTTGAAGCATAAAAAAGAGGAAACTTTGTTTTGCTCTTATGGCTTAACATATGTAAGGTTAGGAATTTGAGGCAAGAGAACCTTTTTCCTAGCTATGACTTCTAAAAGAAATTTGTTCCGTGGTTAGTAGAGGAGTCATGACATTTGAGAAGAGGCATGAGGGAGTGAGCTTGGAAGCTCTGGGGAAAGATTATTTCAGGCAGGAAGAGGAGTCAGTGTCAGGATGCTGAGGTAGGAATGAAGTCAGCTGTGCAAGGAGCAGCAAGAAGGCCCATTTGGTTAGAATGGGATGAAAGTGGAGTAAGAAATGAGGTGGGGAGGAAACCAGGGCGTGGGTCCTTTGGGGCCTTTTAGGTTGCATTATGCTTTTGGGGCTGGGATACAAACACCTTCAAATAAAGTGGTTAATTACTCGGTAGTGCTGTGATGTTTCCTAGTGATGCTTTTGGGATCACTATTAGAGTAATGTTACCAGAGGCACTGAGAGTTTTTCTCCATAATTCCTTATGTCAGCTAGATAGCTGTTAATTTTCAGAATCTACCTTTGTTATGGTCCTCTTAGGCCCCGTGCCTCCTTTGGAAATCTAGTTTATATAATAGTTGCTATTAAAGGATATTAATGTAATGAATTCTTTGTCACGTTACATCTCAGTTACTTTTAAAATTATTTATTGAAGTGGGATATCTAACACAAATATTAAGTCTGTACTAATGAACTTGAAGTTTTACATGTATGTATACCACCCAGATCAAGATATAGAATACTTCCATTCTCAAGGCTTTCTCATGTTTTTCCCCAGCCAATAATTCCTCTTACCCACCTGTTCTGTACTCTGTCACCATCAGTTAGTTTTTCTTGGACTTCATATAAAAAGTATCATACACTAGGTATTCAGTTGAGTGTAGATACTCTGTCTTGCTTTAATCATTATGGGAGATACATCCATAAGTTGTTTGCTTTTCACTGCTGTGTAGTATTCCACTGTATTAATATAGCACAGTTTATTCTAACAGTGAACATTTGGGATATTTCCAGTTGTTAGCTAGTATGAATAAAACCACTGAATTTTCTTGTACATGTATTTTGGTGAACACATGCAGTCCTTTCTTTTGGGAGTGCATTTGTTTTTTTCTTTCTAGGAGTGAAATTGGATAGTGTAGGTGTGTGATTAGCGTTAGTACATTTGTCCGTAAAGTGTGGCTCTTGGACCAGTAGCATCAGCATCACTTAGGAACTCAGAGAAATGCAAAGTCTTGGACCCCACCCCAGATTTTGTTTTTTTTTTTTTTTTGGCTGCGCTGCAGGCATGTGGGATCTTAGTTCCCCAAACAGGGATCAAACCCGTGTCCCCTGCAGTGGAAGCACGGACTGCCAGGGAATTCTCCACCCCAGATTTTCTGAAAGTACTTATGACTCCAGTAGGCCAGTACTCCTTACCCGTGCCTTTTACAGAAGAAAACAGACCAAAAGAAGTCCAAGTGATCTGTCATAGAGATGTATGCGGCCAGTTAGAGGCAGAATAGGGGCCTCAGGACACGTTTCCTGATTCTTAGTCTAGTGCTGTAGAATAGCGGCTTTCAAAAGCATGATCCCCAGACCTTCTGCAGAAGCATCACCTGGGAATTTGTTAGAAATGCAGATTCTCAGGACCTACCACAGACCTGAATCAAAAACTGGGGGTGGGGAGAATGATCATGATAAGAACCAGCTTGTGTTAAGAGGAAATGTTCTTTTTAAAACTTAAGATAACCTTCTCACAGAGATAAACAGGCAAATGTTAATTACTAAGTAATTGGTAATAATGAGTAGGGCCGGAACCTTGATGAGAAGTGAGAGTCTGTTTCCCTCTAGATTTTCCCAAGGGTTGGTTTAACAGTAGCTATTTTAAAATTAAGGTCGCTTGATATTACATCAGTTAAAATGTCACATTTTTATGTAAGACCATCAATTAAGAATAAAGAGAAAGTGTATCAAGCTGATTACATTTTTCACTCATTAAACAAACAACGTTAGTGGCAAATGCTGTACTGGGAGCCAGCGAGCTAAAGATGAAACTACTGTAGTGAGGGAGTTTGTAGTCTAGTGGAGAGAGACAGGCAAGTCAACAGATCATTAAAATATAAGTACTCCAGTGGAGTGGTGTATCAGGTACAGTAAAGAGCATAGCAGAGGCTAACTGGGGAAGTAAAAAAAACTTTGCAGAGGAAGTCTCAATTCAGTAGAGGGAGAAAACATATATGTGGATTATGAGAATCTTTTGAGGCCCAGTGTGAGTAGTGCTTAAGAGCATGGGCTCTGGAATCAGACTGCTTGGGTCCATATCCTGGTTTCAAGAAAGTTCCTGCTATCACTTTTCTGGATCAGATTTCCTGTCTGTAAAATGGGATTAACTAGGACCACTTGAAAGGGTGATTATGAGGATAAGTAATGTAAGGTACAAGGGTGAGGCCCTTGAGGTAGACATCTTATAGATTCTTCTCTAGGTTCTAGCCACGCTGGCTTGCTTTCTGCTACTCAGATGTGTCGAGCTCAGTCCTGGTGCAGGGCCTTTGGACTTGGCAGTTCTTTTGCCTAGAACGTACTCTCTATTGACTACCTCTTGTTTTGCTTGGAAATGCTCATCACTCTAGATTTCTCTGAAATGTCACCTTCTCAAGGAAGATGTTTTCTCTGACGACCTTATCTGAATTGGGCCCCAATGTAAGCTTCAAGAGTGCAGGGGTTTTGTGTATCTGTTTACCACTGTGTTCTCAGCGTAGTGCCTGGGATGTAGTAGGCACTCAGGTGTGTTAAATGACTCCTACCACAATTCTTGGAACAACTGTGAGGTGCATTTACAAGGACGCTGAGGCTAAAGAGATTAACTTGCTCAAGGTTATCGAGTTTAGAAGTGACAAGTCGCAGGTTCAAGGCATCAAGGTCATCCTCTGGAGGAGTGGGTAGGATTGGGGTGTATGATATAATTGCTTGGGAGCTGACTTTGAAGTAGTTGACCACAGATAGCTTTGTTGAGGGCATAGCTGGTTAGCATAAAGTATACCAGTTCTACATGGTTATGTGATTTTTCTCCAGGGGTGCTTGCTAGTTTAGGAATGGAGAAGGCTTGATCCTCTTGTTTATCCATGATTGGGGTTTAGCTGTGACTAGAAGAAAATGGCAAGTGGAGTCAGGCTGAGATATCCAGAGCTAAAGGCCTTTAAATGTTAGGTCAGTCTGAGCAGTCTGCTTTTGCTTATAATCTTAACAACAAGTAACCTTTTTGGATAGCATTTTAAGAGAGCCTAAAGCTCTATAAAGATTTGGAAATTAATTTTCTAAGATCCAAGTCTTAAACAATTTTAATGACTTAAAAAGGAATTTTCCCCCTCTCGTTCTGTGTTATCAGGGTACTTCCTTTATCATTATCTTGTTAAAGATTTCAGTGTAATTATATTTTACACTTCATGGGTTTCTTTTGTGAACTATAACACAACCCATTTTCTGTGAGAAGTACTATATCTTTGGATACGTTTTGTGTAAGCCTGATTAAATAGCACTTTGCTGCCGTGATTCAAATGTTGGCACTGAAGTCCTTGCCTTTTGAGATACCTCTTTAGTCCCTTTGTATTCTAGCAGCCAGCAGCTGTTGTCACAGAAACAGTAGAACACTGAAAACACTGCCACAAGTCAGATGTAGTTAAGACAACCACAAGTAATTATTTTAACGTCACTTTTTCTGGTATATTCCTTATTCAAAATAAATTTATTGTTGTGTTTTATTCATGACTTACAAGTTGGTGTGTTATAATGTTCAGTTTGTGTTGAGTGGTTTTTTGGTAACTTTTTTTATTGATAGCCTAATAAGTCAGTTGCTTAGTTTATTTAACTGAATGACCATAACTGGTTCTCCTTAACCAACAATTGGTTTGTGTTTTTAAAGGTCACTTGCAAGTTGGTTCAAAATTCAGCAGTTTATACCTGACTCCTAAAGAAAAGGAATATTTTATTCATCTTTGAACCTCCAGTGTCTGGCCTATGTTTATTCCATAATATGTGTTTAAAAATACTTTTTGAAAAACAAACAGAAAAACCTGACTACTGGAAAAAATAAAAATACTTTTTGAATTGATGATCCAGATATTATTATAATCTCTAACAGCCTTTTTGACCTATAATGTACATTTTCTTGGTGAGGAGAAGCTGGAAATGTGGTTTTATGATATATTTGAGTAGATATGTAAGAAGCCATCAGCTGTTTTCAAAATTGTTTGAAAGCTTAGTGGAAGATGGTGTTTTTAGCTTAAGAATTTCAAAGTATTAGAAAATCTTGTATTAATACAAATGTTAGATGGTGTGTGAAAGAAACTTGGAGTGAAATTTTACCATGAGGCAATATTTAGTGGTTAAAATTTGATTTGGAGTCAGACAGACCTGGATTTGAATCCTATCTCTGGCGCAGTCACTGACTAGGAAGTGAGGGAATGGATTTTCTGTGCACATGTAGGGGAAGAGCATTCTAGTGAGAGGGAGCAGCAGGTGCAGGGTCCTGAGATGTTCGAAGAACAGCAAGGAGGCCATTGTGGCTAGAATGGTGGCGCAAGGAGAAGAGTTTTAAGAGGTGAGATGAGAGGGAGAGCAGAAGGTTATATCAAGGAGGGCCTTGCAGATCATTGGAAGGACTTGGGCTTTTGCTGTGAGTCAGCTGGAAAGATGTTGGAAAGTTTTGAGCAGAGACATAGTAACAAGATCTGATTTTCATTACTGCTTGGATCAGGGTGATAGGGGTTAAGATAGTAAAAAGTGGTTTAGATCTTAGGTATGTTGGGTTTTAGGTTTACGATTACCAAGTATAGTGTACATTGCTTTGTGAGAATCACACTGCGAGGTTCAAGCAAAGCCACATGTGTGGCTATTGAAGTAATTTTGCCTGTTAAGAAAACTACCAAGTCCCTAGGGTGTGTGGGCAATGGGTAGAGAATCAAAGCCTTCCTGTTTGCCTGCATTTGTCCTTGGCTTCACTGATCGTGCTCTCTCTTCTTGCATCAATATTGTTCCAGCTACCACTTATGAACTGTGACTGACCAGACTGGCAGAGTTTTAATCGCTCTGTTAATTCTTGATCAACTGATAGTAGCTATCTATGAGATATTGTATCTGGGCTTTTGACAGAATGCTGTAATTTCTTAGGCCATTGATAAGAGGATAGGAGAGGGCCAGGTAAACTTGATTATGTATTTATTGGTTCCATTAACCTCTCTGAGCTCTAGGTTTAACTTCCATTTAAAAAATTTTTTTTATTTTTGTTTTTATTGGACAGCTTCACATTTTCTAGGCATCTCAAACTCTACATGATCTTTGAATCTTCTCCAAATTAGAAGGAGAAAATCAGTGGTGGTCAATGTATATGAACTAAACTCTTCAGAATAAATGAGGTGATAATAATTACCATTTATTGAGTTCTGCTGTAGGCCAGGAACTGCTAAATGCTTTAGGTAGATATTACATTCAGTTGTGGTCTTTTGAGGGGAGAAGGGAGGAGAAAGGGGGATATTGATCTTCTTGGGAAGAAAAGCTCCAAGCTTGTTTCCCTGTTACCTTTCCTCCAAATACTTTATGATAATAGGTTATTTGATTAAAAATCGTGTTTAATTAGAATTCGATGGCTTTTAAAAAACATTTACTGACACTCAACGTGTTTGTATTTGTAGGAGCTGACTGAGGCTCTGGAGCAGAAACCAGATGATGCACAGTATTACTGTCAAAGAGCTTATTGTCACATTCTTCTTGGGAATTACCGTGGTAACTTTTCTTACAAAGTATATTGACTCTATAAGTTACTTACAAATTTTGCCCAAGATACAATGAATCAAATAAAATAAAGGTTATCTTCCAGGATTTTTAACTTGGTCTTTCATACAAGGTAAAGTAGCCGAAATGTGACAAACATGTTGAGCATCACCCATTTAAATTTTATGGTTGCCCGTTCTTTCTTCAGTGGGTGTAGAATTTGTACAGATTTCATTCATGGTTACTGGATATGCTAACAAAGAATAACATCAAATTTACTATTTTACAAAGTATTTAAATGACTTCCCTTGTTTTATTTTTTATAAAAAGAATGTATTTCTATATTCTGTAATTTTAATTATCTGGATAGATAATCTGAGTAGGGAGAAATTAAATACCTTGAGTCAGATTACATAAATGATGTTAATGAGAAAATTAGATGAACTTTGTGATACAGAGCTTTATTCATTGCCTGAAGCGCTTTAAGAAGGAAGTTCAATATTAGGTCATTAGGAAGGTATGAGGGTAATTTTATTTTGGATTAACTTTTCCTAATTTAAAATCATTTGTCCATTCCACCAGCTTGAAAACTTAAAAATCAGAGGCTAATTCAAATTTTGTCTGTAGTATTTGTTAGGATCCATAAGTAACTGACTAAAAAACCCATTTTTTTTCATATGCAGATGCTGTTGCTGATGCAAAGAAATCTCTTGAACTTAATCCAAATAGTTCCATTGCTCTGCTGAGAAAGGGGTATGCAGTAACTACTCTTCTTGCTGGGTCTGGACTATAGTTTCTTGAATGAATTAATTGTAAGCTTTATGTAAATAGTAAATTCTGTATTTATACATTTTATAGCTGAGATAGGATTCAATTTTAGGTATATTTTATACTTTTATTGTAGTATAGTTAGTGTATATATATATATATAGTTTAAAATAGTGATGGTTGAAGGCAAAGTCTAGATGAAACTCTTGGATTTCACATCCCCTTTTTGCTTCATCATTTGGGATTTACTGTATTTAATTGACCAGGGAACATCTGTTCCTCACCCAAGCTGGACAGGCTACATTTAATGAAGACTCTGTTATCTGTGTACTTTATATCCCAGTTTGTTTCTGTTGATAAGTGTGACTTTATTCTTTAAGAATCAGAAACGTCTTTAATTCCTTAATATAACTATATTTTGGAATAAGCAAGTATATACAATTAAAATCAAGAAATTCCTTCTGAAATGAGTTCCAAAATTGGATTCTAATGGGAATTATACTAGATATTATAGTAGAGTATTTCAGGAAATCTCTTGGCTGGCTTATTAACATATACTTAAATTCTTTCTTTTAATAGTAGGGAAAATAGTTTCTTTTTTTTTATTACTTAGAAAGAAGGCTGTTTTTCATGATCTCATGTGTGTGTATTTGTTTTTAATATTCTCATGCAGGATATGTGAATACCATGAAAAAAACTATGCTGCTGCTCTAGAAGCTTTTACAGAAGGACAGAAATTAGATAGTAAGTATTAGAATTATATGTTAGTACACTAATCCATTATACCTATGTGTCTTAAATACCGTAGCTGAATTTTGTTAGTGTAATCTCAAGTTAATTATAGAAACCCAGCTTTTTTCTCTTCTCGATGACATTTCGTGTTGATTGCAGAATTTGAATTTACTTAAAAATTGATTAAATTGGCCTTTCTTTAGCACTTAAATCACAGATAAACTACCATCAGAAGCAGAAAACTATATAAACACTTAGTGTGCTCCCAAGTACTTAGTCTGGCTTTATTTTTTTTCTAATGGATAAGTGAAAGTATAATTTGCTCTCACATTCAGAAGTCTATTTAAGTTATTATCCAGATGGCTGAGATAATGAAATCTTACAATGAAAATTTTTATTGAGAAATGAAGTGTTAAGTTTGGGGTAAAGTATGATAGGGTATTGAAGAAACATGGAGGTTTGAGAGCATTGTGAGTTTCTAATATCACCTTTTTGAGAGAAATAGATGAAAATTATCACAGCAGTATAGATATCTGTGCATAATATATAGAAATTGTAAAAGCCAAGTATCGAAAACTCTGCAGAGTACAAAAAGGTTGTAAGTAATCTCATAGATAGTTACAGTACATACTCCTAATTGTGTACTATCATTTTATCTTCATCTTATGATAGAGTGTTATCACAATTCTCTAAAGCAGTAGCTCCTAACCGGGAATGGTTTTGCCCCATAGGGGACATGGAGCAGGCTTCAGTAGTTGTGGCTCGCGGGCTCTAGAGCACAGGCTCAGTAGTTGTGGTGCACGGGCTTAGTTGCTCCGTGGCATGTGGGATCTTCCTGGACCAGGGATCGAACCCGTGTCCCCTGCATTGGCAGGCAGATAAAATTGATTTTTTAAAAATCAGAATTCTTCAGGATGAACAAGTAACTAATAGGTTTAATATTAGGATGGCTATAAACTCTGTTAGGACAGATATTTTTGTCTAATTCACTGTTGCATCCACAGTGCCTAGAATAGTGTTTGGAACATAGGTATTCAGTAATTATTTGTTGAATGAATATGTGAGGCTGTGCGGATGAGTGATGTTACAGCCAGTTTGTTCTTTCTAGGTACAGATGCTGATTTCATTGTCTGGATTAAAAGGTGTCAAGAAGCTCAGAATGGTAAGTGTGCAGGTTTCCCGTGGTCTTTCCGTTTAAAAAGAAGTAAATGTTTGACATTTGTTTGTTTTGAACTTTATAACTTATAATTTAAGTAGTGGATGTTCTCTTAGGTTGGGCTTTCCCAAGGTATTTTGATTTTTTACCTCATTCGATATATTGAAAGGGAAATTTGGATGGATTTGTTTTGCAGTGGTATTACTGGTAAGAAATTACTGAGGAGTCTCAAGTGACTCCAGGATGCAGTTAAACCCCTTTCCCTTATTAGGTATGCATGGAGAATTGGTTTGCTTAATCACTGTTTGTGCCGTAGAAATCATATATGTAATTTTGCCTATACATGTACTGTTACCTGAAAATGTTTCCTTTTTATGTTTTTAATAGGATCACAGCCTGAGGTGGTAAGTCCAAAGGTTTTATCCTTTGTGTGTGTGTGTGTGTGTGTGTGTGTGTGTGTGTGTTTTATTTTTGGCTGTGTTGGGTCTTCGTTTCTGTGCGAGGGCTTTCTCCAGTTGCGGCGAGCGGGGGCCATTTCATCACGGTGCACAGGCCTCTCGCTGTCGCGGCCTCTCGCATTGTGGAGCGCAGGCTGAGTAGTTGTGGCTCACGGGCCCAGCCGCTCCGCGGCATGCTCCGCGGCATGTGGGATCTTCCTGGACCGGGGCACGAACCCGTGTCCCCTGCATTTGCAGGCGGACTCTCAACCACTGCGCCACCAGGGAAGCCCCTATCCTTTGTGTTTTTACTTAATTATATTATTACTAAGTATATTTGAGGCTGGACTCGGAATGAGCTTTCTGTCAGTTACATATCTCTCTAGGGCAGTTTTACTAATTTTCTTCCTCCAAACGCTGTCTCTTCCCTTCTTACTTAGGGACAACTTGGAGGCCACCATTGACCCAGGACAAGTTCTTTAGATTTACAGTCTGAACTGGCACACGTAGTTTAGAAAAGTTTGGATTGGTTAAGAGTCACTTTGTTTCTCAGTGGTCAGTGTAGAATGTTTGTAGCAGAGAGGCCAGCCATAAATGGTGTAAGACAATATCAGGAAGGCACCAAGGATATAGTGCTTCATATGTTTTTCCAGAGCAGTTTGATGCCATTGTTAAGCCTGAAGGTTATACTATAGTCTTAAAAATGTTTTTTTTAATGTTATTGTTATTTTCAGCTTAGAGAGTTACTGAATCTTGGAACTGGACATTTTATATGTAACCTTTTCCAAACGTATCTTCAGAAATTTTTCTGTTTTTTATCCTTCTTTTAATTTAGAAGAAAAACGGTTTTTTGTAACTGAAACTCATAAAATTTTAAAAATGCTGAGTAACAGGGAGATCAGCTCGGTGCTTTGTGACCATCTAGAGTGGTGGGATAGGGAGGGTGGGAGGGAGGGAGACGCAAGAGGGAAGAGATATGGGGACATATGTATATGTATAACTGATTCACTTTGTTATAAAGCAGAAGCTAACATCATTGTAAAGCAATTATACTCCAATAAAGATGTTAAAAAAAATAAAATTAAAAAACAACAACTGAGTATTCTAATTCCTGTGAAGATGAGTATTATTTAACAGTTATGGATACCATGCTCTGTAAGAAGTTTTCATGTAGTTATTCCATATCAAAGTATTCCATATCAAACTATAACACTGGGTAAATTAATAATACATGCATTTTTAATATGCAGTTACTAAACTAACTTGTAAAAATCTTTCTCTTTGAACTTGTCAAAATCAGTCTGCATCCCAGAGGACTTATCAGTCAAAAATCAAGTAAGTGTTTGTTTTTCATGATGCGCGATAAGTATGCCTAAAGGGAAAAAACCCTGTTGTTTAATAGTAAGCAAGTCCTTACCTGTGATTTAAGTATTTCTTAGTTTATAAAAGATATCATATTAAAGCCTTGAAAAACTAATTGTAAGACTGTTAACTGATTTGAATTAGTGTTTATGTTAAGGTTAAAATCAAATCAATTGCCAATTAAAACTTACTTCACCTGATTCCACATTATGTCACCTTTCCATGTATTAAAGAGAGTCTCTTCCATTTAAGTTATTGCTGTTACCTAGGTAAATAAGTTAGTAGACTTGATAGAATTGTAACTCTACCTGCCTTTTATATGTGGAGTAAATTTTTCATAGAATAATTTTGCATGAGTTGAAAGTCACTTGCTGAGGGCAGCAGCTACAATCATGAATAAGTATTTAGCAAGGATTTGAGTTATTTTTAGTTGTTCATTAGCTGTGTGTACAGCTTGTATTCTTAGTGTAACAGAAAGAAACACAAGGCATTAATCTCGAGCTTTGCATCCTAACTGAATTTCAAAGGAAAACTGTGAGTCTTTTAAAGATCCAGTGCTTTTGACGTAAAATGGCTTGAAAATGTTAAAACAATTTACTCGTGTTCTTTCTGGGGAGATACAGGATGACTCTCCAAGTACCTAGTAAACAAGGAACTTTAGTGACAGGAGCAGGGGTAGGGTACATAAACTTAATAATTGGAGCATTCGGAGTATAAAATAATCCCACATTGATGTAATAAATATACCATGTATCAGGGTACTGTGCTTAGTCCTGGGAATGTGATAGTGGCAGGATAGATAAATAGCTCTGCTCTCATGGAGTTTATAATCCACTCTAATTTGAAAGTGATGATATATTTTTAGAGCTTTCAGTGGGAAAGATACACATAATTAGAATCTCTAGGCACACTAATCTTTCCACATACTTTGAGATTGGAGGAAGGTACTATATTTAATATTGTGCCTGGCAGAATGAGTTAAATTATTTTAATTTTAGCTCATTTGCTTCTGTTCCCTCTGCTCAGGGCTGTTTGCCCTCAGCTTCAGTAAAGAGATCCTGGAGTGCGGGGTCAGGTTGACCTGGGTCCAGTGTAACACCTGCTACTGATGTGCCAGTTGCCTCACCCTTCTGAGCTTACTTTTTTTTTCATCTGTAAAATAGGGATGGAAGTGTTTACTTCTTAGTATTAGGTTGAAATGAGAGGATAAAACTGTTGGTGTATTAGAATTGTTACCTGTTAGAATAAATTTTATCTTTAAAACTAGCTGTGCATGTGGCCTCATGCTGTGTGGTGTGGCCAAAAATAACCAATTAGCTTAAGCACAACAGTATTAGAGATATGTTAGAACCTAGAAAATTATGTAAGTATTTATTAAATCCACTGGAGGGGTTTTGGACATCATCAACCTTACTTTTCTCTTCCCTTAGTACAGGTCATATGAAATTAGTTACATAAAATTGTTTCTGTGAATCAGCAGCTGCTTTGCTATTTTGTTCCTCAAGGTGGCGCTCTTGTTGTTCATCAGATTATATACAGTTTTTATCTTGACAAAACAAGCAACAACTTTAAGAAAATTTAAGTTCTCTTTTAAGTTTCCTTTTTCTTTTTTATAGGTATGACTGGTATCAAACAGAATCTCAAGTAATCATTACACTTATGATCAAGAATGTTCAGAAGAATGATGTAAATGTGGAATTTTCAGAAAAAGAGGTTATTATAGTTTTTGAATTATTTTTGGTTGAGGTTAAATACGTTTATTTGTAAATATAAATATATATTGCAGAGTAATCTGTAGCAGTCTATTAGATATATATCATTTTTTCCTGAGGTAATGTGGAAAATGCTGATGAAAATCTGAAGCATTGCTTTTCCATTTGAATCATTTTAAGTTTTGAGATGAGTATGTATACTGTAGGTTATAGCTAGGTGTGCATTGTTTTCTCTTTCTTTAGATTTGGAATTCAAAGCAGAATTTGGTTGACAAATATAAAAGACATTAGTAAGATACGTGCTTTGGTTACACATATGTGTGGTATACTTCATGAAAAAGATCCACTTAATTTTTGTGACTTATATATCTTAGAATTTACTAACCATATTAAATGAGTATAACTTTCAATAACTTGGTTTCTTAGCATTTAGTAGAAAACCTTGTGATAGATATTTAAGAGAGTTCATGGTAGAACTAGATGTTTTGCACATGAATATTTCTTTGTTACGTACTGTATTATTTTGTTCTTGTAGATTGAGTTTCCTTGAGATTTAAATGTTCAGTATGTGTTATGAAACATACTCTGTTCTGCTACTTAATTATGTATATGAGAATTCATGCGAAGGATACCAGATTTTTAAAAGATTATTTTGAGATTCTTAAGTCTGATATTCCATAGAAAGTTTTGAAAATAATCTGCAGCAGTACTGAAGTTCTGTAATTGTAGTCAGTTTAAGTACTTTACCCTTCTTTAAATAAATTTATAAAATGTACTACTAATTTTGTGATCATTAGTTGTCCGCATTGGTGAAACTTCCTTCTGGAGAGGATTATAATTTGAAGCTGAGACTTCTTCATCCTATAATACCAGAACAGAGCACATTTAAAGTACTTTCAACAAAGGTAAGATAATTGAAAAGGGTTGTCAGTGGTAATCTGTGATTGTGAGCTTATAGATCCTTCCAGCCACATATCTTTAAATTAAATACAAACAATAATTTTTGAGTAATTTTTCCACCTTCCCAAATTCTAGGAAAATGGATTGTAAAAATCTAACCTCAAAAGTGTTTATATGCTTATTAAGATAGGTATAATACTTCTCAATAAAGAGGTTTTCATAAAAGATACAGTGATCAGCATTTTTTTAAGATTTGATACTGACAGTGTCTCATGTCTTGAACTTGTCATTTTGGTCTGTTGTGATATACAAATACTTCTCTCACACTTTCTTATGCAGTTAAAAATACAGACTACTATAAAGATGAATCTGCTTTCTTGTTTTTTAGTTAAGCTGACTTTTAGGTTACTTTGTTATGAAGGATTAATGAATAATTTAAATTGCTGTTTGAGTAACCATAATTTTTAGATTCCTTTATATTTTCAAAAAGAAGTAAAAATATGCAATAGAATTAAAATTCATGGTATATATCAGCTACCAGTCAAAAGATGTAGTACGAGTAGGTAGAAGTATAATTTAGCAGGAATAATACTAAGCTGAAAATCAAAAAATCTGACTGGTTCTTTGCTTGCCCTGTTAACTTAGAGTAGTCACACATAGGACAAGATTTTCAGCATCTATAAAAATGAGAGGGATATGGACTGTGAACTCTGAAATCCTTTCATCTGTAAGATTGTATGAAGGTATATGATGAGTTAATGAGAAAGAATGATATAAATTCCATTACTATACCTTTTTTATGCATATGTCCTGCATGCAACACAGTGTGTTATTTAACTTTTGAGTTTAGTTGTGTGAATTTTCCTATCATAGAATAGAATCAGGGTTGGCCTGTGTCATGAAGAATGGTAACTGGGCCTGCAGGAAGAAGGGGACACCTGAAGAGGGTTGGAGCAGGAAGTAAAGAAGTAAAGAAGCAGTAGTTTTTGCATCTAGTTAAAAATGATCTGCTCACTTATCTATTTGAAATGTACAAAGTACAAAGCTGTTTACTTAAGAGGCAGAGATAGGAAACAGTTGCTTGGACAATAGAAAGTGAGAAAAAGGGTGACATACTGTGAAGATTTTCATCTTACTGGCCCCATCCACATTGGGTAGAATTTAATAAGATAATATTGGGTACAATAAGCACAAAACTATAACTAGATTTGAGAGGGAGATAGGTCAGAAAATTAGGAGTTTGGCATTTTTGTACATCTTTCTATTGAGAGGTTGTTAATGCATGTTTTTTTGAAGTAATTTAAATGTAAATTGATTTGTGTGATAGATGGCAAATAACTTAAAAACCTGTGTTACTGAGCCACCTTGTATAATGGAATAGTGTGGTTGGTGAGTACACAAGTATGTGTGGCTACAATTGAGGATTTAACTAAGCAGTGTCCTGTCTTACTCTTTATTCTCCTTTGAATCTTGTGCTTATTGATTCTAACCATTCCCCAGCCCCTCTTACTGTGTTCCCAGTTTACTCTTTTTGCCCCTTGCTCCTTTCTTTAAATGCTACATAACTCCTTTCCTTTCCTGTATACTAGTTTGTTTATATGTACACATTTATTTCCCTTACTCTTTTTTTTTTTTTTTTTTTGCGGTACGCGGGCTTCTCACTGTTGTGGCCCCTCCCGTTGCGGGGCGCAGGCTCAGCGACCATGGCTCACAGGCCCAGCCGTTGCGTGGCATGTGGGATCTTCCCGGACCGGGGCACGAACCCGTGTCCCCTGCACTGGCAGGAGGACTCTCAACCACTGTGCCACCAGGGAAGCCCTATTTCCCTTACTCTTAGTAAGTCTTCTGAAGATAAGAAGGTGTCATATTTGTGTCTATGTATGTGCTTCATGTAGGGTTACCAGATACAGTATAGGATGCCCAGTTAACTTTCTGTTTTTATTTTTCTGAATTTTATTTTATTTATTTATTATTTATACAGCAGGTTCTTATTATCTGTTTTATACACATCACTGTGTATGTGTCAATCCCAATCTCCCAGTTCATCCCACCACCACCCCACCCCCGCTTTCCCCCATTGGTGTCCGCTTTCCCCCCTTGGTGTCCATACGTTTGCTCTCTACATCTGTGTCTCAATTTCTGCCTTGCAAACCAGTTCATCTGTACCATTTTTCTAGATTCCACACATATGCGTTAATATACAATATTTGTTTTTCTCTTTCTGACTTCACTCTGTATGGCAGTTTCTAGGTCCATCCACATCTCTACAAATGACCCAGTTTCGTTCCTTTTTATGGCTAGTATTCCATCGTATATATGTACCACATCTTCTTTATCCATTCATCTGTCGGTGAGCATTTAGGTTGCTTCCATGACCTGGCTGTTGTAAATAGTGCTGCAGTGAACATTGGGGTGCATGTGTCTTTTCATTTTCGACGTACCACAGTTTATTTATTTATTTTTTTAAATTAATTTATTTTTTAACATCTTTATTGGAGTATAATTGCTTTATAACGTTGTGTTAGTTTCTGCTGTATAACAAAGTGAATCAGCTATAAGTATACATATATCCCCATATCCCCCCCCTCTTGCGTCTCCCTCCCACCCTCTCTATCCCACCCCTATAGGTGGTCACAGAGCACCAAGCTGATCTCACTGTGCTACGTGGCTGCTTCCCACTAGCTGTTTTACATTTGGTAGTGTATATATGTCAATGCTACTCTCTCACTTCATCCCAGCTTACCCTTACCCCTCCCCGTGTCCTCAAGTTCATTCTCTATGTCTGTGTCTTTATTTCTGTCCTGCCCCTAGGTTCTTAAGAACAATTTTTTTTTTTTAAGATTCCATATGTATGTGTTAGCCTACGGTATTTGTTTTTCTCTTTCTGACTTCACTGCGTATGACAGACTCTAGGTCCATCCATCTCACTACAAATAACTCAATTTCGTTTCTTTTTATGGCTGAGTAATATTCCAGTGTACATATGTGCCACATCTTTTTTATCCATTCATTTGTTGATGGACACTTAGGTTGCCATGTCCTGGCTATTGTAAATAGTGCTGCAGTGAACATTGTGGTACATATGTCTTTTTGAATTATGGTTTTCTCAGGGTATATGCCCAGTAGTGGGATTGCTGGCTCGTATGGTAGTTCTCTTTTTAGTTTCTTAAGGAAACTCCATAGTGGCTGTATCAATTTATATTCCCACCAGCAGTGCAAGAGGGTTCCCTTTTCTCCACACCTTCTCTAGCATTTGTTGTTTGTAGATTTTCTGATGATGCCCATTCATTCTGACCAGTGTGAAGTGATACTTCATTGTAGTTTTGATTTGCATTTCTCTATTAATTAGTGATGTTGAGCATCTTTTCATGTGCCTCTTGGCCATCTGTATGTCTGTATGTCTTCTTTGGAGAAATGTCTATTTAGGTCTTTTGCCCTTTTTTTTCAATATATAAATTTAATTTAATTTATTTATTTTTGGCTGCATTGGGTCTTTGTTGCTGCGTGCAGGCTTTTTCTGGTTGTGGCGAGGGGGGGCTACTTTTCGTTGCAGTGCGTGCACTTCTCGTTGTGGTGGCTTCTCTAGTTGCGGAGCATGGGCTCTAGGCGCACAGGCTTCAGTAGTTGTGCGGCACATAGGCTTAGTTGCTCTGTGGCATGTGGGATCTTCCCAGACCAGGGCTGGAACCCACGTCCCCTGCATTGGCAGGCGGATTCTTAATCACTGCACCAGCAGGGAAGCCCTTCTGCCCATTTTTTGAGTGGGTTTGTTTTTTTAATATTGAGCTCATGAGCTGTTTATATATTGTAGAGATTAATCCTTTGTCCGTTGATTTGTTTGCAAATATTTTCTCTCATTCTGAGGGTTGTCTTTTGGTCTTATTTATGGTTTCATTTGCTGTGCAAAAGCTTTGAAGTTTCGTTAGGTCCCATTTGTTTATTTTGTTTTTATTTCCATTACTCCAGGATGTGGGTCAAAAAAGATCTTGCTGTGATTTATGTGAAAGAGTGTTTTTCCTGTGTTTTCCTCTAAGAGTTTTATAGTGTCTGGTCTTACATTTAGGTCTTTAATCCATTTTGAGTTTATTTTTGTGTATGGTGTTAGGGAATGTTCTAATTTCATTCTTGTACATGTAGCTGTCCAGTTTTCCCAGCACCACTTATTGAAGAGACTGTCTTTTCTCCATTGTATATCCTTGCCTCCTTTGTCATAGATTAGTTGACCATAGGTGTGTGGGTTTATCTCTGGGCTTTCTTTCCTGTTCCATTGATCTATATTTCTGTTTCTGTGCCACTACCATATTGTCTTGATTACTGTAGCTTTGTAGTATAGTCTGAAGTCAGGAAGCCTGATTACTCCAGCTCTTTTTTTTTCCATCAAGATTGCTTTGGCTATTTGGGGTCTTTTGTGTCTCCATACAAATTTTAAGATTTTTTGCTCTAGTTCTGTAAAAACTGCCATTGGTAATTTGATAGAGATTGCATTGAATCTGTCGAGTGCTTTGGGTAGTATAGTCATTTTCACAATATTGATTCTTCCAATCCAAGAACATGGTATATCTCTCGATCTGTTTTTGTCATCTTTGATTTCTTTCATCAGTGTCTTATAGTTTTCTCAGTATGGTCTTTTACCTCCTTAGGTAGGTTTATTCCTAGGTATTTTACTCTATTTTGTGGCAATGGTGAATGGGATTGTTTCCTTAATTTCTTTCTGATCTTTCGTTGTTAGTGTATAGGAATGAAAGAGATTTCTGTGCATTAATTTTGTATCCTGCTACTTTACCAAATTCATTGATTAGCTCTAGTAGTTTTCTGGTGGCATCTTTAGGATTCTCTATGTATAGTATCGTGTAATTTGCAAACACTGACAGTTTTACTTTTTCTTTTCCGATTTGTATTCCTTTTATTTCTTTTTCTTCTCTGATTGCCGTGGCTAGGACTTCCAAAACTATGTTGAGTAATAGTGGCAAGAGGGAACATCCTTGCCTTGTTCCTGATCTTAGAG